TGATTTTCTGAACCCCAAATGCAACAATTTTGTCGATTAACCAAGCCATCAAGATGAAAATGAGCCTCATCGAAATTCAGCCACATTTATGCAAAACGGTCATGGAAAATTTCAACAAAAGAGTGCATATGTGCCAGCAAAGCAGTGGAGGCCATTTACCTGATATGCTATTCCATACATAACCGTATACTGTATACTTTATGAATCAATAAAAGATTTACAATTTTTAATTATAAACCTGTGTTTTCTATCAAAATTACTTCTTGCGTGAATTTTGGGACACACTTTATTTGTATTCACATTTATTGCAGTCTTTAATACCAGCTATCCTCCAATCCTGTTTTGTAAAAGGTGAGTTTTATAATTAGAGTCCGTATGGGTTTGTATCCTGACTCTGCCATTTACTAGCTCTGTGACCTTGAGCTAACCTCTTGTCACTAAGCTTTGGTTTCTGTGACTGTGACCTAATAATGGTACAGATGCCTCAGAGGAGGTGGTGAGAATGACCATAGACAGTGCAGGTAAAGAGCACAGCACGGTCCAGTGGGAGTGGCTCAGTGGTTGAGCATCGACCCATGAACCAGGAGGTCACCATTTGATTCTCACCAGGGCACATGCCCAGGTTTTGGGCTCGACCTCCAGTAGGGGGCTTGCAGGAGGCAGCCTATAGATGATTCTCATCATTAATATTTCTATCTCTCTCTCCCTCTTCCTCCTTCTCTCTGAAATCAATAAAAACAAAACAAAACTTTGTGAACATTTTAGAAAGTGATTACATTCAATTAAAGATATTTGAAATTAACTAAAAATAATTATGAGTAGGATTAAATGTAATCTTTGTCATTTCACTGGAGACATTTTCCCCTGGGTCAATCTTAGAAACTCATTATATTTATTTCATTTCATACCTCCATAAATTTTAAAAAATATATTTCAAATAAAAAACTGAAATATATTAAGGACTCATTTTACTAATTAACTCATCTCCATTTAAAAGGATTTTTGATATTAAAAAATAAAGTACTTGCAAAAATCCTCTAACAATATGTTGGGGAACTGAAATCCACAAAAAGATCATGGTTGCATATTTTGAATTCTTTCAATGCCTGAACTTATTCAACATTTTTTGAAGACTGTCTATATCACATCTGGCAGTAATTCCCTGGAGAAATGAATAACCTTCCCCCTGCCCTGAAGGAGCTCATTGTCTATTGGAGAGATGGACAAATATGGTTCATTGTAATAAAAAGTTTTGGGAGTGACGTTAAAGTATTCGTGGAGGGCTGTGGAAGCTCATGGCAGAGATTCTAACCTCAAACAGGTTGTTTTTCTTTGACACAATGAAAGTTGCTCCCTCACTGACATTAATTGAAAACAGAAAGGTAGATATGAATGTGGATTCCATGTTTCACCTGACAACTGTAGAGAAAAATATAAAGATAGATGAAAGTCAACCTTTAAGTTTGGAAATTTAGTAGCAATAAGTTTGTTGGATTTATACATAGAAGAAGTTACATGTTTTGGTGACTATGATGGGGATAACACAGTAAAAATCTCATTATTGGATTGCAAAGGCTTTCACAGGGAAAGTGAAGCATAAAGGAAGGAGGATGGGCTTTGGCTTAAGTAGACTTAGGTTGAATTACTGCTCTGTCACTTACTACCCATGTGTCTTTAGACTAGCAATTTTCAACTGGTGTGTACCATACAGTTGAAATTCTTAAAACATGCAATACCTGACTATTAGTCAGGGTCACTAACTTTTCCCCCCTTAGCTTGTCAAATAAAAAAATGGCGACCGCCAACAAAACAATAGCAGTCCATTGTGAATGAGTCAAAAGTATACCTATTTTTTTGTTAGATAGGAAAAGCATATTTTTGGGATGCTGCAGAATTTTAGTAATTAGTTTATGTGTGCCATGAAATGAAAAGGGATGAAAGTCACTGCTTTAGACAACTCACACTCCTTAAAACCCAATTTCTTAATATGCAAAGTAGAGCTAATACTAGCTTACACATAGAGCTATAAGCATGAAATATGATAATGCTCACATATATTTGTGATGGGGCATCATGAATGACTCAAATGTAGGCTACGGAGTCCTTGGCAAGGAGTGAAAGGATGTAGGCAAGTGTGAAGCACTCAGAAACCTGGAGTGCTAGGTAGGAAACAAAGGCAGGGATGTGAGTGATGATATGACAATAAAGGTAATAATCACTATGGCTCCTTCCAAAGCTCAGAATCTTTATCACTGAATTAAGCCTTTGATTTCCTATGACCTCTTATTTACTCATAATCTTAACTCTGCTTGGGAGAAAAATCAGGCTTCAATTTACCTCTTGGCTGAGTAGCTTCTCCTTATCTCTATGAAGTCAGAAGCTCTGGGATGCGTTCCCTGGTATATACGATACCTTCCCACTGAACAATGGCTCAACCCCCAGTGAGCAAAATATGAAGTGTAACTGTCCTACATGCACTGAGTTGGAAGAGATGCTCAGGGAATGGTAAGTGAGATAGAACAGGAGGGCAGGGAGCTTCCAGAACATGATAAAACAGCCCGTGGAAGCAGAGGAAACACAGTAACTTGAGAGCAGGTGGGTAGCTCAGAAAGCGCCATTGCAAGAAAGTAGTAGGGGGTCACTCAAGAAGAGATGGGATTCAAAAGGAGAAAAAGATGATGCGTACCCATGGGTGAGAAGTTTTATAACAGTTGATATTTGGAGAGCCAAGAAGGAGGCAATTACTATAGATCCAGGAAGAATAACAGCAGGAGATTAACATTACTTCTGCAAGTCAGGACTCATGGAGGGCTCCTATGTAGGGGGAAAGAGATACAGTCAAGGGTGAGATAGAGCCCCACGATCAGAAGACGAGGAGTGCGAGGGGGAGAGGGAGATATTCTCACATACGAGATGAAAATGGATCCTATAACCAGGATTAAGTACCCGGTTTGGAGCTGAATTTATAGTCGATACTAAGGAAAGAGGAGGTGTCTAGATGGGAATCTTTATTTCTACATTAAAGAACTTTTAAAAGCCCGCTCTAAAAATAGGATCCCCCTCATTATCAGAACAAAACAGAGGCTGGTGGGGCTTCAGTGAATCAGTTGAGAGGTTAAGAGGGATGAGGGAGGCCCTAACCGGTTTGGCTCAGTGGATAGAGCGTCGGCCTGCGAACTGAAGGGTCCCAGGTTCGATTCCAGTCAAGGGCATGTACCTTGGTTGCAGGCACATCCCCAGTAGGGGGTGTGCAGGAGGCAGCTGATCGATGTTTCTCTCTCATTGATGTTTCTAACTCCCTATCCCTCCCCCTTCTTCTCTGTAAAAAAATCAATAAAATATATTTTTTTTAAAAAAGAGGGATGAGGGAGGAAGAATCAGATCCTTCTATGTAGCTGGGTATTTTCCAAATTCAGAACATTTAGAAAGTATGGGTTGAGGAAGCTGAAATTTCTCAAACCCTGTGGGAGACTAAAGAGAACTAGAACCTTGTTTTTAAATGTGTAAAGTGTTGCTCTTGAAGAAAAGCAGCCAGTTATGACCTCCCCCACTGCTACCACTTTAATACACCCTTCCTATAGTTGAAACACTATGGTCTCTTTATGCAGTCATTAGTAAAAGGGTAAAATTTCCATAGCACTTTAAAGTTTCAAAGCCCTTCTTGTGTTCATTATTTTATTTTCTTCAGACCTCTATGAAGTAAAAGCAACGATATAATCAGACATAGTTCCGGGTGTAGAAGTGGAAGTACAGATGAATGACTTTATTAAGGTCTTCAAAGCACTTAAAAAATCAAAGCCAGATGATTTAACTCTGATTCCTGGCCAATTCCCAGCCTTTCACTGAACACGGAGGTGAATGAGAGAAGCATCTGCTAAATTATGCCTTTCAATAATCTTGCCCCTGGCCAATCTTGGATATTAAACCTCATCTTCCCTAACATCCTAGCTCCTGTGCACTGCCTGGACTTAGGACCACACTAAATTCCAGAGTTTGTTTCCTCTGGCCGCCCTCTCCGTTTACCCCGAAGGAAAGCTGGGCATGTGAAGGGCAAAAGCTTTGGATTCCTACTGACATGGATTCCAATCCCAGCTGTAAGACTCTACAACTCCCGCCACAGTGCTAACAAGCATCTGAACCTCCATTTTCTAATTGGAAAAATGGAGTATGCGATACCTATTTTGGAGAATCTTAAGCTTTTCAAATGAGATCACATATGTAAAGCACCTAGTATAGTGTCTGGCACATCAACATTGTAGAACCATTGGCTTTTTTGCTGAGGACACTTTACCCTTTTCAAGCCACTATGTTACCTCGTTTGACGTAGGGGAGTAGGGTTGGCTCCATTTTGCAGATGAGGTATAAGACAGCTTAAGCACATTTCTCGGGATCACATATAAGGTAAGTAAAGATGGGATTAGACCCCAAGCCTCCTAATGTTTGTTGAAGACATGCATTTTGGTACCCTGCGTCACATCCTCTTAGCGGGACTGGTTTCAGCCACAGCTACAGTGGATGGGTCCTGCCTGGAGAGAATGTGTCCTACTCCAGGCGCCCACAGTCCCCTGACTATCTATCCTCTTCTCTACCTCAAGGTTCTCTCTAAAGCTCCCAGGAGTTTCCAGGCAGGAGAATGTAGGGCCATTAAAGTCCCTAAAGGTACCCCTCAACAAAGCGGGGAGGGCAGCCAGTGGATAAATGCCTGTCCTCTCTTCCTCTGGACAGATAACCCTGAAGCGCACTATTTGATTGCCAGTTGCCCACAATGGGAACCTTCTCAATAACACACACTTGACTTGGGCTTTTCTTCTTCTATGACACTCTCCTCCATCTGGCTTCCTGGGACCATCTCCCAGATAAACTTCCTACGCTTAAGTCCTTGTCTCAAACTACATCTCGGGAACTAAAGGTTGGGATGGGGGGTGTATTGTTTTCACTCTTTCGCTTTGTTTTCATTTGTGTTTACAGGCATTTCTCTCTATGTCTCTCTCCATAGGTCACTAAGATGCTGGCCGTGGTTGTCATTCTGTTTGCCCTTTTATGGATGCCCTACCGGACTCTTGTGGTCGTCAACTCATTTCTCTCCAGCCCTTTCCAAGAAAATTGGTTCTTACTCTTTTGCAGAATTTGCATTTATCTCAACAGTGCCATCAACCCAGTGATTTACAACCTCATGTCTCAGAAATTCCGAGCAGCCTTCAGGAAACTCTGCAACTGTAAGCAGAAGCCCATGGAGAAGCCCACTAGCTACAGTGTGGCCCTAAATTACAGTGTCATTAAGGAGTCAGACCACTTCAGCACAGAGCATGATGAGATCACTGTCACTGACACGTATTTGTCTGCCACGAAAGTGACTTTTGATGACACCTGTTTGGCTTCTGAAATAACCTTGAGCCAAAGCTGACTCCTGAGTTAGAAGAAAATGGACCATAAAGTGAATCTGTGCAGTTAGCAACCCAAGAGAGGAAAAGGCCGCTACTGATATGGGAAGACAGAGCAGATAGTCTTTTCCAGTACTCTAACAGATCCTGGCCCAAGATACTTTAACCCACAGAATGACTCATATTTTCCTTCTAGTGTCACAAAGCTAATATCACAAAAAATGAAGCAGACCTGTGAAAGAGCCAAAGGGTGGAAATTGAGAGTGTAGCCCTTTGCATTTAATTTGAGAAATTCACTTTATTTTGGGGGGGGCTATGAAGTTTAGATAAAATCTAGACATCAATTTACATTATTTATAACTCTGCCAAATGGGATTTCTCCACTTCCCACCAAAGTATTTATATATGGGTGGGACAAAATTAGGTTTACAGTTGTTCATATGGAAAAATAATACAATAATTCATAAATAATACTACAAGAATAAAATCTGTGTTTTGCATACTCACAACTGTTAAGCCTACTTTGCCTCACTCTGTATTTGGTAATTTTGCAGCATGTGAATGCTTAAATGTTTGGTAATTTTGGTAATTTAATGCTTAAATGTTTGCATTTAGCATTTCAACAAAGTGCAGTGCTATATCATGAATATCTGAGACTACAGAAAAAATAGAAAAATATTTTATATTTATTGAGTGAAAATGAGATTTCAGACAAATATGTTCACTAGACTAAAACAAATACAAAAGGAAATGTCATGATTCTTATAAAATTTTGAGATGATTTTTATATCTTACAAAGTAGACAGTCATCATTTCAAGTTTAATGTAACATAAACCACAAAATAGTCAAAATTACAAATTAGGAGGAAATGTAGATTTAATTTTTAGATAAATCCAGCTCTTATCAACTCTTTGAGCCTCCCAAGTGATGGCTTAGACATGAGAATTATTCAAATTAAGTAACTGTGAAAATACAAATGAACACACAATTAATATTGAAAAGTATTGCCAAGACAAGACCAAGTATTTAAAATAAGGTTTTACTTGTCTCTGAAACTTTAAGAAAGAAAATCCTCCTTGAGTAAATATTATTGTGTGTAAAGTACTGAGCCATGTCAGTGAATAAATCCTTCTAACTGACTCTAGCTTGAAAGATGGGAACCTTCTCAAAAGCTTACTTGCTATTCTATCAGTCAGTGTGACTCCTCTCTGATCACTACATATAGCCTACAGATTTTAACTTGTCTACACTTGTCTTTCCTTGCTGCCTGCTTGTTATTTGTAGGTTCTTTATCTTTTTTCAACTGCTAGTGATATTTTGTTTACAGAGTCTAAATCAAAGCAATGCAAAATGCTGTTGGCTTTATTTTCAATAGAGCTAAAACCAATTTCAACTCATAATCTGTATCTCTTTATAGTTATGATTTAGACTTGCTAGTCGTATCAGTGATTATTAGAGAGCTGTGAATGTGAATTTGCCCAAGACAGTGTCTGGTCTTACTTTACTCCCTTTCAAATGTCTCACCTACTGAGATTTGGCCAATCAGCATCTATCTCCAAGTGTATAAATTGCCCTTGGTGATGACAGTAATAGCTAATTTTTAATGACTGGGCCAGAAAGTACTGGGTACTTTTAAGTGTCCCATAGGCTAAAATGTTCCCTCTCCAGCCTGTATCCTTTTTTGTGCATTTTCCTGGAACCTAATTGCTACTGATAATTATCCCGACCCGCCTTCTTAATGAAGAAGACATTGTGTTTTGGAAACTTTTTAAAATGCTGCTTTGCCATCCAGAACCTCATTTCAGGATATGCTTTTGTAAAAATTGGCCTCATCCACTCCAGGAAGACATTCATATCCTGTCACTGTGTCAGTAAACAAATGCAAGCAAATCCATATATATAAAAGGCTAATATGCAAAGTGACCCCACAGGAGTTCTACCGGGAGACTGAGAGTTCAATTGCTTGCTATGACATGTGCTGACCACCAGGGGGTGGCATGGAATGAAGTAAGGCACTGGCTGGCAGCTGGCAGCCAGGGAAGGGAGGCCCTGGCTGGCAGCCAGAAGGCCCTGATCGCCGTCCAGACCTAGGGACCCCACCCGTGCATGAATTTCGTGCACCAGGCCTCTAGTATTTATATAAATACCCTAAACATCTATCTGCATGACACTAAGAAACCTATTTTAACTGACTTGCATCCTGAATTAAATGTTAATCTTGGAAGTACCAGAGGGACCCAACCCCAAACCACATGAGCACACATGCAGGTGCATAAAAACACAGACACACACATGTAAATAAACTGCTTAACAAAGGGATATATTGGAATATATTCAATTTTTTTCATTAGGGGAAGGAACTTATATTATTGAGCTTCTAACTATGTCTCAGGCATGCTGCTAGTCCAGTGATGGTGAACCTATGACATGCGTGTCAGAGGTGACACGCGAACTCATTATTTTGGTTGATTTTTCTTTGTTAAATGGCATTTAAATATATAAAATAAATATCAAAAATATAAATCTTTGTTTTACTATGGTTGCAAATATCAAAAAATTTCTATATGTGACACGGCACCAGAGTTAAGTTAGGGTTTTTCAAAATGCTGACACGCCGAGCTCAAAAGGTTCGCCATCACTGTGATAGGCCCTTAACCAACATTATCTTCATCACAATCTCACTACAGCTGTAATGATGATAACACCAGGGGTCAGGGATCAATGCAGCTTCTCTAAATTGTGTAGATACCAGGGAGAGAAAATGCCATTTTTTTCTTTTCTTTTTTTAAGGCCAGCATGATGATTAAAATTCTTTCAGCTTCATGCCCTGAAGAATAAAATATATATATGCTCTGCAGGGTGGTAATATCAGATGTCAAAAAAATTTACAATTTGTCTTTCATGTTATACATAGAACAGAGTACACCTTTCCCACCTTTGGAAATTTAATATATGTGCTCAGTTTTTCCATTTTAATTTTTTAAAGTTATTTGCACCCTGGCTGCTGTGCTCACTGGTTAGAGCACTGGCTTATGTACCGAAAGGTTTCTCTCAGGTCAAGGGCACATATTGGATTGTGGGTTCGCTTCCCACCACTGGTGGGGTTCATGTGGGAGGCAACCAGTCTGTGTGTTTCTTTTCTCTCTTCTCTCTCTCTTCTCTCTCTCTCTCTCTCTCTCTCTCTCTCTCTCTCTCTCTCTCTCCCTGAAAAAAACAACAGAAAAAATATCCTCAGGTGAGGATTAACCAAAAAAAAAAAGTTTTTTTTGTTAATAATCTGTTAGTTTTAGACCATATGGGAAATTCAAAAGGACACAGTATTTCCACTGTAAAGCAAATGCCATAACAAATTTAAGGGTTCTCATGCAATGTCCAATAGATATCTGATTTACACAGAAGAGATACAACTTTTTAAAGTATTCTTTCTCACACTGTGCTAAATCATAAAGTAGTTCCATAAATAATCAAAACTTAATATACCATCAAATGAAAATTAAAGAACTAGATTAAAATTTGCTGTTGGAGTGAAGTAATATTATTAAGGAACCCTCTTAATAAAATTCCTTGACTTATTTATTACTCCCAATTTCATTAACTGCTGAGTGTCTTTGGTTAGATATTGTACCTGAGGTAATTAGGTAAAGGTCACAGATCATGAATAAAACAAGACTTCACCATCAGTATTGTAAGTGTATTTCTAGAGCTTCACTCAGCACAACTATTCTAAATGCTGGAAAGAAATAGGAAAAGTCCAAACTAGATTCAACTGTAAACAGGCTAAATGTACAGAACAATACATCTTGACAATATTCAAAACAAATGGACAGTTTCAGTTAAACAATTAGTAAAGTCAAAGGAAAACAGTAGCCATGAAACTTAGCTGAATATAACAAAATCTTAAATGAAGACTCATTTAATTTCCAGAAGAACTTGTTGGAATAGTAAGACAATTTTTCAGTAAAGCTGAGTCACAGAGTTCGAGATTGCTATTAAAGAATGAGAGTTACATCATCCTAAACTGTGTTAAATTTGAAGACATGATAAAAGAAAGAAAATACTAACTTTTTGGAGAAAAAAGAAATTTTAAATAGTTTACCTATGACTGTGAATTCTATGAATATTACATTGAACATTAAGGAATGGAGAAAGATTAGAGTAAGGAAACTAGATGTGAATAAGAGGGCATCCAAAAACAACTGGTCAGTCCCAGGTGCAAAGGAAAGATTTTTCAAATGTTTGGAATCACTTGTTCCCCTTGGAAGAGGCAGAGGATGAAAACCTCTAGCAATTCATTTTCTATTTATATCCAGTTGTCTAATGTAAATATCTATCAAAACCAAGATCTGGCTGAGCAAATACATTTTCAGAGTAATATACATGAAGATGTCTTAGAGATTTCTGTGTTAGATATTTTCCTCTCTTTCTCCTCCTCTCCCATCAAATCTTCTGCCTCCATAAACATCACCTTTCCTCAGAGCGGGCAGGTTCACCTGACTTCAGCTAAGGCTAATCCTGAAAATGAACTATCTTAAGTAAAAGTGTAAATATTCTTTCAACCATATTTATTTATTAAAAAATATGTTGTTGTTCTGAGCACCTTTGTATTTTCATAAAATCATGTTTAAATTATGGAAAAACTGATGCCTCTAAAATCTCTATTTAATTTATGTCCCCGTTTTTATGGTGGGGGTCACGTGTAGAATGAAGCTAGCTGCTCAGTATGGGTGTTTCCTCACAAAACCAAAAAAGAGGTTTGGTATTTCTGAGGTTTCAGTGAGGAACCAATAAAAGAGCACTCAATGTGTGAAAAATCTCTGCAGAAACCAAAAGGCTTTTCCAAATCTTGAGGAGCTCACAGACCATGAAAAAAACACACACCAAAAAACAAAACAAAAAAACAAGACCAGTATGATATCATTTCAAGATAACTGCTTGGCAATATTTAGCCTATGAATTGGAAATGTCATGTTTTAAAGAAACAATTGTTAAAAGTCCACTTAGAAATACCTTAGGAGACTTTAATATAAAGATCATTTTTAAGTATTGTAATTCTATTTTATGAACTAGTTACATTGATTCATTTAATGCTTAACTTCATTAATTACATGGGGCAGGAGGGAAGGTCAGGTGACATCC